CTCTAATTATACTTCTCTAATTATACATCTCTATAAATTGAATTACTGATGTTATAATCTAGAAATCTGCAAGAAGAATGTAATATGTATTCTTATATACCAGTGATTCCCAAACTTTTTTTCTGGGGACCCATATTTTAAAAGTCAAAAACCTTTGCGACCCAAGTCTATAGACATTATTCGTAAATTACAAAATAAAGGTGGACTTGACTATTATTGAACATTAATGAGGATATTTTATTGTTGATCAAGTCTCTCTGAACAATTAGTATTACTCAAGTTTAAACAATGAAAAACAGTAGCTGAACGAGCAATAAGAGGATCCATAAGTCGTCTATTTGGACATTAAATGTAGCCCATTTCTTTTTCTTTTCAACATTCAATTGAATCAGCAGTATTGGAACAAAACAGTCAATAAAGTAATTATAAAAAGATTAGAAATCATACAAAACATGTCTTAACATTTCAACATTTCTAATGCGATAGGTGGGCCTGTCTGCGTTTGTATAGCGCATTCCAGTCCAGAGTGCAGGAGGAGAGCGCAGCACAAATATCAGTGTCAAAATTATATATTTCAGAACTACACAGACACAGCCTCAAAAAATCTCTTGAGATCCACCTGAGGGTCACGAGCCAGTCTTTGGGAAACAACGTCATATACAATACATGCCTGTGTGTTAAATTCATGCCTAAAACGGAAGAGATTTTGATTATATTTTTATTTTTTAGACATGTTTAGGATTAGTAAGTTTGTAAGTAGTAGTAGTAGTCATAGTCAAGTTATTAGACTAATTAGTATTGGTCATAGGCTGTATGAAGAAGTGAAACTAGCAAGTGTGACGTCACCTATAGCGGTCGGCTCCACTCAAAGGAAGCTCGCAATACAAACGGTTACAGGAGCGAATTTGGAGCTGGGCTCTATAGGATTTTCTTAACGGACAAAACAGCTGGAAAAAACACCAGGATCATGTAGAGCGGGTTAATACAAACATTTTAACACCAAAATGACGAGGCTCACTGCAGCAATTACAGAGAGGGGCGACAATATTCCAGTGTAAGTCAATGGGAGCCAGGGTCAGAAGGAGTCGGAAGAGCGAAATTCCTATTTGGAATGCGGCGGCTGGTGCGATAGCGATGTCCAAACAGTCTATGGTATTAATGTTAGTATTTGTTTTAATATAGTAGTAGCTGAAGTTGTTATTTCACATAAAAAGGGGCAACAGTAGTTCTGCTGGTAGAGTATTCGTCCACTGACCCACAAGTTGGGGGGGGGTGTTCCATTTTACACAGATGAATGCTGCCGTTGTGTCCTTGGGCAAGACACTTAACCTTCCCCACCCCCAGTGTCTGTGTGTGAATGGGTGAGTGGTTCCTTGATGTAAAAGCGCTTTGAGTGCCTTGAAGGTGAAAAAGTGCGATATAAAAATACAGCATGTCTACTTACCATTTAAAAAAGTATACCTTCACTAAGAATACAGTCAACTAGCATATAAAATTGCACCAAACTTTAGCATATGCAGGCTAATTCAGGATAAGGTCAGTAATACCTTTCTGATTTATACATAGAAAAATGCATATGTATTATTGAAAAGCATTGTGGCTAAACCCTCTTATCTCTTCATTGCAAGATAGGACCAATGCCTCAATAGAAAATAACTTGAGGCTACTTCCATATTCATTTCAAAAATATCACAGTTATATAGGAACAGACGGACAATTGATGGAATGTTTAGCTTGGTGATCAATGCCAATCGTCTGCCCATCATCTAAAGTCCCAGGATGCGTCTGTCTGAATAGATTTGCCTAAAGAGCAAGAAAGGCAACCATGAATTCCAATGAGCTGAAAGGTTATTATTGAATTCTTGCCAAGCGCTGAAAGAAAATAAAGTTTTTTGAGGTGCATAAGTTTATAAAGGGGAAATAGAGTTTTGAGATTTCCCTGTATCATTTAATTCAAAGGTTCGTCCTCTGAGACCCACTTATTCATAGCGTGCCAGATTTGGTTGGCACAATAACAGTGATATTCACAATGGGCACTTGAAGGCATCGTGGAAGGTGTATGGAGAGAGACTTGGCAGGGGATAGACAGAGAGGCGAGACAGACCAAGCTAAGCAGAAGAATCACTGAATAACAAGAAGTCGCCCTACGAGTCAGAATTAACAATAGCTGATGGAAAAGCAAAAGATGAAATGAATAAACCTCTTGCAAGACAAAGCAAAAATGATGTGATGTCTTGACAAGGTGCAAAAAAGCAACATCTTTATTAACTGAAATACAGCGTTTTTGTTGCAAAGAGCAATCCTGCTTGAGTGATCACAAAATGGCTGTTTTCACCTACCCCCGATCTCCGCTGACAGCTCTCTACTTATTTAGGAGAAATAAAAATTCCGAAACATAAAATTCTGATTACGCGTCATATACATGTAGTCATTTGGAAACAGTAACATTTGAAAATTTTCTGTAAATGTCACTGTGAACAGGTGGGGCCTATTAGTTTTGCAGTTTCAAACAGGATATGCTCCGATTATTGATTTAGATCAGGGGTCTCCAACCTGTAGCTCGGGAGCAACCAGTAGCTCTCCATCCTCTTCCAAGTAGCTCACCGTGAGATTTCTGAATTATACATATTGTGCTGAATAACTCAAATTTGATTCATTAAATGCCTATTTTCTTTGTAAATGTATAATTTTGATGCCTAATTGTGTTCACTGATAACTAGATAATGGATTATGTTTTATAGACATCTAACTGTACCTCATTTTTGGCTCACCATGGCTCTTATATTTACAAAATTTCTGGCAACCACTAAAATCAGGTATTTTTGTTTTACATACCTGTAACCATTGAGGGGGACACTGTGAAGTTTGTAGAGAGTATAAGTACTTGTGCCTACAGCTTGACCACAGACTGGACTGGTGTGAGAATACAGATCTGAGAAGAGGGTCCTAAACAAGCTCCTGTCCATCATGGATAACCCCTAGTCCCCTCTGCACAGCACCATCACCGGAGAGTAGAGCAACTTTGGGAACAGGCTGTTGTCCCTGTCCATGTCTGTACAATGCATCACTATAAAAGGTGAATGCAAGAGGACAGACAGCTGTGTTGCTATGTTTGTTTCACTGTTGGTGCTGACAAACTTAAAATAATCATATGTTACAGTTAAATAGACCTACTACATACCCTCCCTTATTATTGTACCTTGATTTACACAATAAATAGCTGATGGTGACAAGCAACAAGCAACAACTAATGTAGTAATCAGTATATTGTGAGCCTGTCTGCCCTTCACCTCTGATGCCATGGCATACTGTATAGTTGTATATATTGTGTATTGGGCTAGCATATGCTGTAGTTAAACACATACTGTTCCCCAGAGAGAAGCCGCCCACTCCATCTGTATCTCCCAAGCAAAGGGCCAAAAGAGGCTAATAAGGGTCAACATGTATGATATATGGATCGTTGATACAGGTAAATACACAGAAAAGCTTTAATTAATATTGAAGGTTACGTACAATTGCTGAAACTAATGTTATAGTGAGATTTTGTGCTATGCATTTTTGTATTAAAAGCTGATGAGACTAGAAAGTACCATATGACTCATCTACAACTCAGCCTGTCTGTTTAACATATTAGACAATTCAAACGCTAGTCAAAACAGTGCGTACAAGAGTGCACAGTAAAGTGAGCGGATGGTGTGTATCAAACAGTGTCCTTATCAGTATATTAAGAACGACTTTCATGTATGACAAAAAACAAGTCAGGTGTCAATGCTGATTGGTTGTTTACAGGTAGAAGATATGTTTAACAAGGCACCTGGTCTGTAGTTCATTGTGAAATACTAAATTAAAGGTGTAGAATATAACTCGTCGTGTGGAAGAATCTGTCAGGTGCTAGTGCTGGAGATGTTAGTGTTATGACAAAGTTACAGATAACATCTGTGGAAAGAATTTACATCGTGCGCCTTTAGGTTGGGGATGAATGTGAAATATTGACATTCTTCACCAAGTTAAGCATTTAGAGAAGAATATATCTTTTACTTCTGTATGTCAATATTGAAAGTGTATAGGTCCTATATTACACAAAATTGACATTAAGTCATTTTATAATGTTGTTACCTCCTCAAAAACCTATCTGGAGTTGTATTTTGTTTCGTTCACACATCCTTGAGTAGTCCTTTATTATTACTCTGTCTACACCTCCAAAGGTTAAAATGCTCAGTTCCACCTTGTGATGTCATGAAGCGGCAGTTTTCCAGTCAACGGCTCCTTTTACCTTTAGGTCAGTAGAGATTGGAAATTCCAGTGCTGAAAATTATCCAAATGAGTCAAGTGAAGGTGAAAATTCTAGTAGAAAACAAAGGGAGCACTTCCTGTATCACCACATGACATCACCAGGTGGAGTGTTTTCTAGGGATGTAGCAATAACCAAAATATTGTGATACTGTATCGGCAAAGTTCTCACAATAATATCGTGGACCATCACAATATGTAGAATTACAAGTCTCTTTGCTTAAATTAAGACAGAGACAAAAAAGGAAAAAGACAGAGGGAACTACACAGACCATGATCCTTTGCTCCATTTCAGTGCAGACTACATGAAGAAATAACAGTTCTAAACACTTTTAAGTCCTAGTTCTTTGGATTAAGTCTTGTCAAGTCATTTTAAGAGGAAAAAGTAGCATATTAACAGTTTTGTTAGCCTCCACAAAATATCACAATAAATATCATACCGTGAGGTTCATACTGTGATGATATCGTATCGAGAGACTTAGATATCGTTAAACTTCTAGTGTTTTCTGTTTGACAGAAGAACTCAGCCTAAATATTCAGGATTTGTGTCTTAATACTGTGTGTGAATGAAACAAAACACAACTCAAAACACTTCTGATGAGGAAACATTATAGATCAAAAAATAGAGTAATATGGACCCTTTAAACTATGAGAATAATACTTCTTCCTTCTAAAAAAGAATCAAATGCTTATAATTTAAAACTACTTACATCTGTGTCAGGGCCCTTGTCAGCTCCAGGACATGAGAAGGTAACAAACTCATGGCACCTCTTGTGGACCACAAAACAGCACACTGGAAGAAACACACACAGAGAGAGAGAGACATCTTTTAAGTTTATAACACACATACTATTGCGCTATTGATCTTCTTTATGCCCTTGTGAATATGAACAAGAAAAAAGCAGAAACATGTACTATGCAGGTTTGTGATGTAAAGAGAAATCCAGAAAGGCATAAAAAGGCAAAATAGACAAACGCATTAATGTCAATCAATCTCAAAGTGAAGTGACAATCCTACGTACGACAAAGATCCAAACGCAGAGAGACAGACACGTGCCCACCCACGCACTCCCACACAAAATATACACGTCCATCATCATGTATATGAGGAAGATGTTAGCCACGTGGGATTTGATAAATCATTGCTTATCTTAATTTAAATTGTTTTATTTTTCTATTTTGATACAATCTGTCCGCTGGGCTCATTGTCATGCCAGCTGCTCATTTCTCTGTGTGCTCGAGCTATTGTCTTGGTTTTTGCCAACGTTTTCACAGTTGCCAGACAATCTGACGACCATTAATTCAACAAGTGGAGGGAGTTTGTAGGAATGGCCAATAAACAGCAGGGGTCCAACTGTCCATGCAAGACACTGAACTGTGGGCTGCAGCTTATTGAGCTAGATCCACTGGGTAATGTCATTGCCATCTTTAAAGACTGATTCAGTCCACATTTATACATTCTTAAAATACTAAACAAATACAATCTAAATCAGTCAATTCTGAGTTATGGCCACATGGTAAAAGTAAAAGAAACTAATATAAATTTATGTTGAAATTAACGCTATATAATATTCAGTTATGATTATGCATAGGACTGGGAAATTAATCGACAAACCACAATCAAATCATGTCTAATTGTCAATGATATGGTTGGGGATTTTAAATGGAGAGGTGTATAGCCATTTCCCTGTTAGTAAAAGCATAGAGATGGAGCAGAGTTCAGACTTTAGAAGAAGAAATTTTCATATTTTTTTGTGCTAAATGGCATAGATTAATGTATTTTATTGTTGCCTGTACTGTTCATGAAATCAATACTAAAAGCCCTTTCTATTTTGTTTTTGAAAAGACCAAATACAATTATTGTGATACATTTATCTCATGTTGCCCAGCCCTAATTATGTAGATTGTAAAGCAGATTATAATTTAGAAATAATACATTTTAAATTAATCATCAGGGTAATGAAATTGTTAAAATTTGCAAAATTATCTTAAAAATTGCACACTTTCCGGGGCACTTTTTATTACATATGGCACAAGATGCAGCTTATCGAACATAATGATGCTGACACGCAGGCTGTCCTGGATACATAGTCAATGAGGAGAGAGGTGTGCAGAGTTTCCAAAATATGTAATAGAAGTTTTATGACATTGATTATTTGTGATGAGTAAGCTATTAGTATAAGTTTTTCCAACTCGTGCTAAAATGTCCGTCTACATTTAATAAATCAGTTGTTAATTGTCTCCGATTTCCGCCAGTGTGATCCTTTAATGTAACTTCATGGGCTAGACCAGGGCTGTGCAAAAATATTGAAATATCGATATTTTGTATTGTTTAATGTGTGATACAGTATTGATATCATGGGCTGCTGTATCGATGTATTGCCAAGTTGTATTTTTTGGTATATTTTACAAAATTATTTTGTCACAGAGCTACAGTTTTGTTGTTTATTCAGAGGAATGAAACACAAACACACAACACATCTGACATTTTCACTGTTTTGATGATTAAAATGTTTGTGTTTCATATGAACTTTGCACAAGACGTGGTTTAACAAAGACTTTTGGTATCACAGCCATGATTTAGCCATTGTTTTTTATTGAAACGTATCAAATCAATTTGAAATATATCGTATCAAATCAAAAGCTCACTGTATCGAGATATATATTGTGTTGTGACCTATGTATCGAGGTGTATCATATCGGCAACTTCTGAATGATACCCAGCCCTAGGCAAGACACATTCTAGCAACAAGCATGAGCTCTACAAATACAAAAATCATTACCATATAGAAACGGCTGGGTCTAATCATCACCGAGGATGCTAAATAAACGCATATGTGTTTGTTTACCATTATGCAAATAAGACAAGGAAGCTGTTCTTTTGGGAGCTTGCAGTCTGTGAAAACAATTGTGCCTGAATAAATGTATAAAATATATTAGGTTTCATAAGGTAAATACAAAGAGTATCAAATAAAACTGACAAGTTAAGTTACAGTTGTAACATTTCAGATGACATCTTTTATTCTCATTATTCAGAGACCTCCCACTTAAATGTCCCTTTTGGTAAATCCCAACTCAACACCCACCCACGGACTGTTCCCATTTGTCAGAGTACATTCATTGAAGTTTTTTTTCTTCACAGCATACTTATAACACATGAATCATGATTGAAATGACGTATGATTTTCAATCCCTCCCTACTTTCCATTTACCCATGCACACCCACCCAGACGCTCAACATTTATTGCAGTTTAATGTTGTAAAGTAAAAGATTTGGAGATTTTCATATGAAGGTTAACCCACAAAAAAGTGAAATAGCAATTTCATTTTGGCTACAATCTCAGGCAGCCTCATAAATCTTGCACGTAGAATCCAGTGTTTAGTAAACTACTCATGGGAGTTAGCATCGTTCCTCTATGATGTGGAAACTCGGATAGTTTTCAAAGATTTTTGGGGTTGTTTTGTTCAGAAAACCTTGAAACATCTTGAATAGAGTTGCATCTTATTGGGGTGGTGGGTGATGTGCAATTTACATCAAATACTATCTTAGGCTAAAATTAATTCTCTTATACATTTTTTAAATTGGGCATTCAATCTTGAGCATTCATGGCCTGCATTTCATTTTCTAAGTCTGGTCAAATTATAATTATCACAGTTTATAATTGTCAGTGAACATTGTTTGCCTGTGTTAGGCCTATAAATGAGACAAGGCGACATTACTTTTACAGACTAATGCAATAGCAACTAAAGCAGAGAAAGTAAGTCAGCTGAGTATTAAGCAAGGTAAAACAGAGCTACTGTGTTTTGATATGTTATGTTATCATGTAGCACCATCTAGTTCTATTTAATTAAAACAGAGAACTGATGGAGTTTGCTGATGTTGTCTCTTTGCCATTAATAATTTAAAATAGAGCATGAAAACACTTGCGTAATTAAGAGTATTTTGAGGTAGTTGCCCAAGTGCCCATGTGTTTTAAGAGAGAAACTCGCTCATGAACAGTCTCTGTAACAGCAGCAGAAGTGAACTACTGACACACTGCAGCATCTGGGATTTTATGATTAATTACTACGGGCTTCATCTCAACAGCCTAATTACATAAGTATGGAGATAAGGGGCTTGGTTTGCACAGAGCAAATTACACAATTCTACTGCACGGCAAGCAGAATTTGAGCAGCAACAACACAAGTTTACTGTTCTAAAATTCAGGCTAAATAAAGCTATGAAGCAATTTGAATGAGGCGAAAACAATATCTGCAAATGTACTATGACGGCAAGTGCTGGAAACTATTACAAAGATAGCTGAGGAGTGCTTCATGGATTACAATCTAATGACATCACAAGGGGAGAATAGAGCATTTTCAGCTCTTGACATCTTAAATATGCCAAATTATTCAAATGTGAGGACAAAACAAAACAATTTCAGTGAAATGGCCAACTGAAGACATGCCCTGTGCATCAATTAATCAACTGAAAGAGGGTGTGACAGTCTAAAAGCTTGTGCAAAAGAACTTGAAGTATTAATAAACAGCATCTTCATAAGACTACACTGTCCAGTCACCTCCAAAATCTCAGCTAACTCCTTTCTTCTGTTGTATATAGACTCCATTTAGAATCTTAATAATTAATCAGTTAATATAATTTTGTCATCCAAATGTCTACAGTCCTATTAAAGTACATTTAGCACAATATAGTTAACTCTTGCATTGAAGTAACATTACTCTAAGTCTTCCTGCTTTGACTACTGTAGTTTAAGATGGTTCTGCTGGAGTGAAGCAAATCAAAGGGCAGTGGGAGAGATCTGGAGAATTGCAGGGACCAGCCAATACACAAATACAGGTCTCACAGCCACAGAGAAACTTCATTAATCCAGGACTGGTTCAGGACTTAACTAATATCCAGGATACATTCCAAGCCGAACAAATAAACAAGGACTTGGATAGTGATGATAAAAATAATTACTGTTTCCCCAAGAATCCTGCATGTTGTCAGAGCTGATTAACTTACAAAATATTGTATTCCAATTTTCTCACTAGTATTTGCTGTTTATTACTTGAGGCTAGTGAAATTGTGATTTAAACTGGTTTGTGATTAATCTTTGTAGCACTAATCATCAAGTACTAGTGTATTACCGACATGTCAATTGTGAACATCTCTTGGGGTTCAGTGTTTGGTTTTCAGTTTCCAGTGTACAAGGGCCATTTTGACCATTCTAAACATATACTATTTAGTTTTGAATGGTCCTAATTTCTCATCTCTCTGAAACCATGGATTACTCCAGTCTCCCCTCTGCCATTTAAAACTATACAGTTGCTATATATGGAAGCTTTTCTAGCCTGCATGTTTGAGCTTGCATTGAAAGAAGCACGTAAACTGCTGCTCTTTTCGAAGAAGATTCCGTCTTTTCGAGGAGTGTGGAGAGGAGGGGCTCGGAGGGCAGGGGTGGGGGAGGTGTATTGTCCTCTCTTGGTTATTTTTAGGCGTGATTCTGGCCAAGGCTAGAACAGTGTGTTCTGATGCCCAGCCTGGAGTACAAACCAGGGAAGACATATCTCCCTCCACCTGGCCAGTTGGACGCTATAAATACAACCCACGTGCACTGGTGACCGTACGTGCGCATGGGGCCGTATCTGAGGCTGGTGCTGGTGAATGATGAATGAAAAGAGAGGCTCCACACAAAAAGCTATGGGAAGAGCGGTGGAAAAAACTGAAAGATTGACTCGTGAAAAGAATGATATACATCTGAGACTGCGCCCGGTCCGTGTCAACTTCTCGTCAAATTTTCATGAAGTTCT